ACAGAGCTGCACCCCCAGCCCTTAGTGCCACTTTTTTTTTTTTTTTTTGGTACCAGGGATCGAACTTGGGTCCTTGCGCTTGCAAGGCAGGCCACGGAACCGCTGAGCTATATCCCCGGCCTTAAGACACAACTGTGTCCCTGTCCCCTGCAGATAGGATAAATACTAGGAAGCTGTTCCTATTTCTATGTACAGGTTGACACTGAGTGCAGGACACTCAATTTAGGAACACTTGGTCGAATTAATGCTTTGGTGTTTTTCCTAAGTCATCAATTACCTAGGCAGGCCTGGAAAATATGAGCTACACAGCCTCAGGCAGTACCTCACAACCTACTTACCTGCTGGTTGGTGTCCCAAGCCCTGGCACTGCATAGAGCAGATGACAGGATCAGCATGGGCTTCATTATAGTAATGCTACGTGGGACAGGGTGGGCAAGGGACCCCTTTTTTAAACTGCCATAAACTGCAGCTCAACAGCTGGAAACAGAAGGCAGTCACTAACCAGAATGGATATGCAAAGGTGCTTATTCCCAGTACAGTAATATGTGGGCAGTCAAATAATCTGTCATTCCAGTTAATTTAATTATCAGACCACATTTAATTATCCAATACAAAATGTAAATAAACTGAAGGGCTGACAGCACATACTAATTATGTTCATTATAATAATTAAATGGCAAGGAATTCAGAAAGAGTCATGAAAATACCATAAAATATAGGGAGGCTTTTGATTAAAACAACATTTTAATTAGAAACTGCTACCCTATAGGAAAGAGATGATTGGTTCCATCAAGGATAGGGCATTACTTTTATCATCTAGGTTTCTCTTCTGAAGTCATCAGTATCAAGGGGCTCAGTCCCTAGCTAGTAGATCAAATGGTGGCAAATAAAAAATGCCAATCCTTTATGCAAAATGGTTACCTAATCAAACTGACTAGGGCTACAGTAGCATTTTTGGATCCCCTGTCTTAGGGACACAAACTCTTTCCTCAGTAGGAAATTAATGAATCCCTGCTGAAAACAGATCCTATAAATTAACCTGATTCCTGACTAATGATACAGAAACATTAAATGAATTAAGCATCAAAAACTCCCCATGAAATTCCTCTGATTAGAAAGAGTAGGACAGGCTAAGTAAATTCATTTCCATGAAAACGGAAGTGTGTAGCAAAGGGTTACCACCTGACTGCCTGTGGTGAGCCGGGTAAGGCTGGAGCCCTTCTGGGATGAGTATGTGATGGAAGCTGGGGTGATTACACTGACTGTAACCCCTTAGCAAATGCTCTCTTAGAAAACTGCTGGGGGATTTGATAAAACTGTTTTGCTTTTTTAGAATTTTAGTTATAGAAACCTTGCCAATTCTGCTGGCTGTTGTAACCTCAGCAAACTCATGTCTACTTCCCATACCCTACCCTTGACATACAACCTGCTTGGTGACCATCCCAGGGCTGGATACAGTGTTGCAGAGCAAGAAGCGCCTGCTGTGTCTGCCAGAGGGTTCCTTCGATTCCTATCAAGAGAGCTAAGATATCCCGAGCATTAAATCCGGAGCACAGTGGACAGGCAGCTCATCAAGCGGCTTGGTCTGCCAGGATCTGAAGCAGAGCAAGGAGGATCTGAAACTGAGTCCTCATGAGGTCCAGAGTGCTGCTTGTGGGCGGTTGCAGTCTCAGCCTTTAAAGCGTTAGACTCTGAGCTCACAGGGAGACAATCTAATATAATCTTCCCATTCCTTTCCTTTTTATTTTGTAAAGTATTCATAACACATAATTTGACTGTTTAAACTTTTTTTTTTTTTTTGGTACTGGGATCAAACTAAGGGCCTTATGCATGCTAAGTAAGCACTCTATACCCTCTGTTCAAACATTTTTAACTCTACAGTTCAGCAGCATGAAGTCACTAACCCTCACCACTATCCCTTCCCAGAACCAATCAGCTTCTCTATAGTCAAATATGCTCCAATCTTGAGAAAAGACTCATTAGTGGCAGAGCTAGGGCTAGAAACCAGACCTTTGACTTGAAAACTGTGGTCCATTAGTGCTCAGGAAACATGCTTACTTATACTACCCCAGAATCTGTGAGTCACCTGGGTGAGGCACAAAAATATACCCCAGAGACTTCCACATCAGCACCCAGAGGGCAGAGCACCTGCTTAGGGTACTGTTGGTGAGTATGAACTACTGTCCATTACGCACTTCAGTGGGGTGAGCGGGGCACCCTGACTTTAAGCAATGTGAGAGATGGAAAGTGCACTGGGTGAGCTCTGCAAGCCTGTCTTCTGCTTTGGTTTCCCAGGAATCCTATGTCATTTCAGGGGGTTTACAGCACCTCTTGGAACTTGATCTCTCACCTGTCTGAGGAGGAATAACCCCTGTTTCACACCTTCTTTGAAGTACTCACAAGGTAAAAGGTAACAGAGGGCCTAGGGATTTAGCTCAGTGGTTCCGCCGCCTACCTTGCAAGTACAGGGACCCAAGTTCAATCCTTAATACTAAAAAAAAAAAAGGATAACAAAGTGGAAAGCAGTATGAAGAGGTCTACACATACATGGGTAATGCTTAGAAACAGCATCTCCATAAGGCATGGTTTCTCACCTTTTTGCAATTATTGTCTTTTCTATCAGCTTCTTATTTCTTTTTACTTTCTATCATACTCTTTCTCCTCATAGATTTTTTTTGTTTTTCAGCAATTGCCCTAGGCCTGAACTGATGTCTCTGAGCTTCCCCTACCTTAGAAGTGGATGCCCAATTTAGTATTCAGTCCTTCTGGGAGGCGAGATGTTGAAACACAGGCCTGGCTTTTTTTCATTTTTCTGGTTCTTCCTAAGAGTGAGCTCACCTCTCAGTAATGACCTCCAAACCTCACTGGCATCCTCTTCCTCCTCAATAGACAAGTGTTAGGGTCTCAGTCTCCTCCTATTGCCTAATGTTCTCTCTGCCCATTTCATCTGCATTTTTTCCTAACCAAATATGTTCAGTCACCACTTTCCCATCTGTCCATCGAGAAACACAAATCCCATGACTCTTGTCTCTGTTCATGCTGGTGAGACCAAAGACACTCAAAGTGTATGTTTTATCTAAAGGATAGAATTAGTCTATGATCCAGTAGAAAATCTCTCTGAAATCCCATATAATTCTGAGTCCTGTTAGCTTATTACAATGGAATTGGTTTATGCAAAAAGTTTCAATCCCTACCATTAAATGTGCTAAACAGACAAACCTTTTGCTGCAGAACAGCACACAGCCAAAATTATCACACATGCATATTCCTTATCTCTTTACAAGAGTAGCCAAGTGTTGTGATATTGTGAACCACTTTAGCATAAAATAGGAAGCAGTTAGGTGAACTGTGAATGTCCACACAAGATAAAACCATGCAGCCATTAAAATGAGTTCCAGAGAGAGACTGGTCTGGTGTGAAGCAGAACATGAGCAAGTGTGCAGTCAGTAAAGGTGTTCCTGGGAAAGTGTCGGAAAGAGACCCTGGCTATCTCAATGGTGCAATCAAAAATAGCTGTGCTTCCATTTCCTTTTTTTATATTTGCTCTGTCTTTTTCACAGTAAGGAACAATTTTATAAGCTGAAAAGGAAACTTTTAAAAGGAAATAAAATGTAATTTAGTAGCCTGAATGAATGCACAGAAAGGAGAGAAATCTACCAGGAGATTCCCCCCAGTCTTTTCTCTGAGCAGCTTGCAGGAGACTAGGGACCTGCTGGGCCTGGCCCACAGAAAGGATGATACACCTCTACCTGGAGGGCCTGCAGGGGGGCCGCTGCTGACAGCTCTGGGCTAGGGGATAAGGCAGAATTGCTGCCTTCTTTCCTGCAACAAGATTTGAGAAGTAGAGATTTCTATTTGAGACTCATCTTGGGAAGGCCCTAGATTTCCCATATTTTGACCATGGAGACATTATTTTAAAATGGGCCACATATTCCTTAACCCTGCATAGGGACTATGCAGGACACACATTTTGCCACACATTTTACAGGGTCAGCATGGCTGGCATCTACAACACAGGGAAATATAGCACAGGGCTGAGTGTCCTTTGCATCTGAAGGCTGTGATTTTGAGTTCCTGGGCCTGCCTTGTTTTCTGTGCTCCTCCTATCAGCTAGGCAGGCAGTGTCAGCTCTTGATGGCCGCTTCTTGCCTTGCACTTGGCTCTGGTAAACCCCTCTCTTCTTGTCCTGGCCTGGTTTGCTGCAAGCTAATATGAGCCTAGTAAGCAGGATGGTCTGAGACTTGCCTAAAATAAAAGTTAGTAAGCTTAGAGTGAGGCTAAGGGGGAGTCCAGAGTTCTGTTTCTTAGCTCCAATCTAGTCTTAGGATGTGTAGGGGGCTTCAGGTAAATGTGGCTGTCAGAAATTCTTACCTTTTTGATATATTAGTTATGTCAAACTCTAGTTTCAAAAATAAAAAAATAAGGTACCTTACTATTTTTATTTTGCAAAGTTTGTAATAGATTTTCCACCTTCATAAAGCAGAAGAATCCTATTTACAAATGAAATCATACTTAGAAATCAAGCAAAGCAGTTGAAAGCAAAACTTGTCTAGAACTCAGCAAGGAGAGGAACAAGTCCTGCCTCTCAGACTCCTGTCTAGCACCATTTGGAAGCGTCTGAGCCAAGAAAAGTTTCAGATGCAGAAGCTACTTTGTCAAAACCAAACTGAACCAAAGAACAAAAAAACAACTGGTGACCACAGCATCACAATCTATGTACTAAGGGAACAGATGGTGAAGTTTACCTGCTAAGGGAGAAGGTTCTTTTGCACAATTTAAGACAATTTCATTGAAACACTTTCTAGCTCTGAGAGGAGACCTTGATGCTACCTGGTACTAATCAATTCTCTGGAGCAGTGAGGCCAGAGACACACCTCCAGAGCCTGGCCAAAGGGCACCGCCCAGGGCAGATGGGCTCCAGCAGGTCAGCCTGCCTTTTGTCACTCAAGTGCCTCACACTCAGCCCCAGGAGCAGGCTAGCAATCTTCCGGGCTACTTACCTGGTTATCTGGGTGGTTGACAGTGAAGTAGCCCACACAGACGATGACCTCATGAAGGAGGCTTTCACAGGATACATGGCTGCAGTGGCCCAGCAGGGAGCTGGCCATGTGCCGGAATGCAAGGGACAAGCCCTCTGCCCCTACAATAGACTGACAGTGACAGGAGTGGTTAGGACTCCTAGCCGTAGGAGAGATGGATTACAAATCAAGTAGTGAGCCAGGCCTGTGCACTCTCTGCAAGGCTGGGCAATGCAGGACAGTTCTGCAGGACTATGTTTAGCAGTGCGGCTCGCAGGTGCTTGCTCTGTTAGTGACATTACACCTGCGATGTTTGCCCTGAGGAGGGACAGGAAATAGAGCACAGCAGACAATATGCCGGCACAATGTAAGACATTGTCTCTGAAAGCATGGTGATTGATTCCATTTTAATAGCTTAATTTTTCTCATTATCTATCTATATATATTTTCATTGTAGAAAATATAGAAAACTATAAAAATACTAAAATTCATATAAGTATATCACTTAACTAAATTCTAATACTTCTTTTCTAAAGGACAGAGTATTTTCTTGTACAAAGAGATAAACATATATTTCTAGTTAGTCACCTATGTTCAAACAGAAAAGAAATAAAAATAAGAACTAGTGATTATTCAAATAAATAGCTCTATAAACCACAAGCTTCCAAAAGAATGTGAAAGACCAAAGACCCCCACACCCCCAACCAGGAAGCCCCTCAGCTCTGGGCTCCTGGGATCCTTTCTGCAGACAGGCCAAGGCTGCTGGCGGGGGCTTGGGGGGAGCTGGGGCTGCCTGTGTAGCCTAGAGCTTCTATTTAATAAACATGTCAAACAGACAGAGCGACAGGAGGCCAAAGGGGAGAGGCGAGGCCCACAGAACACATTGAGGCCCACACTGGAATGAAGCTCCGCTGCAGGCTGTGGGAAAAAGCTGCGTTTGAAACTCATCTCCTGATTTGAGCTCTGGGCGGGCTTGAACCAGGGTAGATGTGCTGCTGCTTGGAAGTTTCAGCGACTTTGCCTTGCAGAACAGGGGGTGGAACAGAGCCCTTTAAGTGGGTTATCACTGAAACAAAATGGCAGCCAAATTTGAAGACTGCCTTTAGTCTCCATTTCACTGCCCCAAGGTAGAAAAACGTTTTTCAAACCTCAAAGAGGCTTTGGGATGGCTTTGCTCCTCTAAATCAAGCAATGACACCTTCTCACTCAGCCCTTATTTAATTAGGTGCATCCAGCATTCTGTGACCCAGTGCCCTCTGTTTAACCTTCACTGATAAGAGCAGGTCAAGGAGCATGTAAGTTTGAATGTAAAAATTAAACCAATTTTTCAAGGAAACTATATTTCCTTTTTAGCCAGAATTAATTGCCAAGTCAGTACATTGATTTGTTTCTTAGGACCACCTTCAATTGTAAAAACTGTCAGCGTGAATGCAATCTACAATATCCCTGGTCTCAGGGCCAGCTGTGCCAATATGAATTCAGAGTGAACTCACACTCTGTGTATGGGGATAATACCCTAACAGTCTTATTAGTGTACAGTGAGATGGAGCCCACTAAGAAAATACCCTAGTGGCTCCCTCCTGTTCCTGTTGTGTACTGCAGCTTGCATATAGCAATCAGGTTGTAGCCCAAGAAGGGTGGGACACCTGGAAACACGGCCTTCAACTCCTGATTTTCTGACTCCACATCTTCCAGACAGTCTCAGAGAACTCTTCATCTGAGGAGGCTAAGTCAGTCCAACACCCTGAGTGTCCACTGTGTGCCAAACTCTTTTTATTTAGAGAGAAGGGGATTGAACCCAGGGCCTCAGGCATGCTAAGCAAATGCTCTGCCACCGAGCAGCACCTCTAGCTCTGCAATTCTGTCTAATCCTCAGTTTTGTGAAGTAGATATTTTCTTTGTCTTTTTGAGTCTGTCTTTTTTTTTTCTTTTTGGTGTTTTGAAACAGGGTCTTACTATGTAGCCCAGCTGGTCTCAAACTCATGATCCTCCTACTTCAGACGCCAGGCATGTGCCACCCTACCTCGTGGAGATAGGTGTTTTTGATCCGATTTACAGATGGGGGTACTGAGCCTTAGCAGTTTTGACAACTTGTCTAAGTGGGTGATGGATCCAGGCTCTGCTGAGGGTGCCTCCCTGAGACAGCTCTGTGTTCCTGTGACATTGGTGTGGCTCACATTGATCAGCTTCCTTCTCCATGTTCGTCTGTGAACCCCAGGGTTGTCTCTCAGGTCACGCTCCTGCTGAGATGCACGTCCTCCTCTTTCCACCTGAAATCTCTTTTCCTGCCCTTCACAAATGTTAACTCTTGACATCTTACTCATGACATATAAGTTGTTTTGATGAATTAAAACATGAGTTTCTCTGACAACATCTATCATAAAAAATAGTCCTTTTCTCCCAACATACCCACTGCTATATTGTGCACACAATATATGTTTATTGAGCATTGCATGCTTGCTCACATAATTTACACTCATGGTGGCTGTGTGGAGAGAGGTGTCACTTTAGCTTGCTGACCAGTATGGTAGTTTACAAAAGGTCACAGCTCACTGACATTTCTCCCATGGAAAGGGAAGCCTCTTTCTCCCTCCTCTTCAATCTGGAAGGCTGAGGCTCATTCAAACAACTGGGTGATTGACACGTAACTATATGACCAAAAGTCAGCAGGCAGCTCCTTATAAAGTAGGAAGAACAGAGGAGGAGAAAGGCCCAGCAGCAGTACTGCTCATGTTCTGCTCCAGAGTAGGGGTACTGGAGCTAGGGCTGAGGAGAGAATGAAGAGAATTGAAGACAGGAGAGACAAAACAGGGACAAAAAGGAAGAAAAAAATAGGAAGAAAAGAAGCAGATAGGTTGAAAAGTAGAAAGGAAGCCAAGGTGCTAAAGTATTGCAAGAACCAGCCAGGAGAGGCCACTCCACCCAGAGGGGAGGACATCTGAATACTCCTGGCCACCTGGTGTCTTCTCCCTGATGTTTCTGGTAAAAGTGGATCAAGTAGGGGCACCCTTTGGGCTGTAACGGCAAGGCTCTGGAGAGAAGACACCTTGGTTTTTACTTTGGTTAGGCATGAAGGTTTTCAGAAATATGCTTTTGATTTTTCTAACATTACTAGCCATTGTGGTTCAGGCCAGCAGGGAGCAGGCTGGAGCTCAGCGGTGCTCCTGGGTAAGTGAGCAGCATAGCAGAGAAGGGCATGGACCAGAGCTCCTGACAAACAATGACTTACTCTAGACATTAGTGCACGGTGGGATGCATCCTGTGGCGGTATGGATTTAATACTGGCCAGAAGGCCCAGGAAGCTAGAAACAGAGTTTCTAGATACCTGTCTTTTCATAAGCTCTGGACCAACCTGATGGGTAGAATGCTAGACATATCCTGAAGACAAACTCTGCGAACAAAATTAGGGTTCCCTGATTTTTAAGATGTTTCTAGACAGAAGATATTGGACTTGGGTCTTCATAAAACAAAGATGTTACTGTAAACACAGAGGCAAAATTCACTGGCTTTTTCTGGGCAGGTATCTCCCCTTTAGGTGTCGCTGTAAACTCCTAGAACGCTACATGTCATGTGGTTACTGCCTAAAGCTGTTTCAGCTGCTCTGGAAACAAACACACCAACTCTGAGGGAGAGATTTCTGTTCCTGGGATGAACAAAACAATTCTACAAAGCTGAATGATTCTAGATGCAATGATACAGCTTATTAATTTCCTCTTTTGAACAGAAAGGAAGACATGAATTACAGAACTGCTCATTTGTCAGCAGCTGTAAAACAGAAGTGTTTCTTCCATCTCAGTAAGGCAAAGAGCACCATTTTCTTACCTTTGTATCGCTATAACCTTTCCCTCTGAGCAAAGCTATTTATCTAAATTATGGGTTCATCATCTGCCATGTTTGTTTCTTTTTTAATGAAATCACTTGACAGTTAATAAACTGAAAGAGAAAGTTTACTCCTTGGGCCTTGTTCTGTTCCAAAGGTTTGGTCTTTATGAGTTAAATTTCCTACATGAAAAAAGGTCGTTTTTAAACTGACAGTCTAGTATTATAGCATAAAGCAATTTTTCTCTCTTTAGCTATAAAAATTTAATTTACAGGGGTTTATAATTTAACTGTGCAAGTAATTTACACTGTACACAAATCAGTTAAGTCACTCATAGACCGTCATTTCAATCAAAATAATGTATCTAATTTTGGTTCTGTTTATATAAGAAACCATTGCTTTCCTTCATATTTAGAAGTTGATGGGAAGGTAATACCTTTATCTAAAGAACTCAAGTCAGAAGGCTTGTAAGGGCTTTGTGGCACAGGATGAGCTTTGGTGACAGAGTCACAGGTAACCAGTCCTGGCTCAGCCATGGGGAACTCTGGGCAAAGTATTAACTGCCAATCTCTTGATCTGTGTGGTCATTAGGAAAACAAATGAAGAAGACATGCAGAAGAACTAATACAATTCCCAGAAGACAGCAGCATAATAAATAGTAGATATATTATAATTCTATTGACTATAATTTATTTCTTATGCCTCAGTCCTGGAGAAGCACCTCATATCATATCCACATTAAAATATTAACTCCCTGACTGGACAATAGCAATGGAAACCAAGGCTTGGTACCTGAAAAGCCGGCAGATCCAGCACTGCAAAGCTATTGAAGAAACGCAAACTCTGAATGGCGACTTGGACAGTGTTCTGAGTGTAGCTCTCCTTAGGACTGGCCGAGCTGGGGTCCAAGATGGTACCATGGAAGAGGACGCAGTAGAGCATGTGCAGAACTCCAGCCAGGTCTGTGGCCTGAAGAGCAGTTGTCAGTCCCGTGGGGTCCTGGCGATTATTGTCAAATATACTATATGACCTGACAAAGAAACATTCAAGTCTCTGAGAGAAATCTAGTTAAGGGATGTTAGCATTTTTATAGGTCAAATGGAACAAGACAAGCAGACCGTTAAAAGAAAACCATCTGAGTTGTGTAATGAGGTAACAAGAAACCTCCAGGAACCAATGCAGCCCTCCCCTCCAAGTATACAGGGCTTCCCTTTTTGTTCCTGGGGGATACTGGGTTGCTGCCCGCTGCAGTTGGGGCTGGGCTGCCACCACTGCCCTACACTCTGCAGCCTTGGCAGCTCCACTTTGTTTAGTGCCCTTAGTTGGGCAACCTGCAGAGATCTGTGAGAACTTCTGAGGCCAAAATCACGAATGTTTCCTTTTGGAAACACAAAAGACATCTTCTCAGGGGAGGCAGGTACCAGGAAAGCACATAGCCTCAAAAGCCTGGTAATGCATTGGAACACAGGAACAAAGACCCTCCGACTGCTTTTGCAGGCACCATTCCAGCACTGAGGAATATGGTGAGATGGGTTGTGGAGACCAGAATAGTAAGAACAAGCAAGTGCAAGATTGTCAACACAAATTGCTGTGACAGAGATAGGGAGTGCTGTAGATGAGCAAGAAGAGGCAACTGTGGTAGGAAACAAAGCTTAAAATCAAGAGTACAGCAGGAAGGGTTTGCTGATCCACCTTGTTCCTTAACTCAGGCATCACAGAAGACTGAGAGCAAGAGCAGGTAGCCACAGCATTTACTCATCCTGCTTTCCCTTCTAGAAACTATAGACTCCTTTCTGTGGAGCCTCCTCCCCTCTGTCACTGCCAGTGTGCTTCAAGTGCCCCCTCATTTGCTCTGGCTTCAGGGTGCCCAGGCCCATGGCTGAGCTGTACACTTTGTGTCCTTTGCTCCTCAGTGTGGTTTAGGGGAGCACATATCACACTCACAGGTAACAGGATGGATGGAGGACTTCGGCTGAGGGGCGTGGGAAGAAGTCCTTGCTTTTTCCTCTATGAGGTCTGAATCTGAGATACAAGGTCTGGAGTGGTGACAGACACTTAATCCAGGCATCATACAAACTCTCAGGTCCCTCAGTACTATTCCAAGTGAGCAGACAGGTGAGGGTTAGGTTACAGACTCAGCTTTTTTTCAGGAAGGGAAGTGGTGCGAGCCCACTCAGTGTCCTTTTATCTGGCATGATCAGTACTGTACGACACTGAGAAGTACTGCCCACTGCTCCCCAAGTGGGATGGCAATTTTCCCTGGTTTTAAATTTAAACACAGGTTTTCCTCTCTGGTCTGTCATCCTTCTAGCTGGAACCTGGGCTGGGAGGCAGGCATTAAAGATCTATGCTCACCTCATGTATTGCCCAGGTGCACTTGAAAGGTACCAGTAACTAAGAATGAGGACATGGTAGTTGGCAAGTTTCTACTATTTTGCCTCCTTTTTAAAATTCTAACTTATTTTTAGGACTATTTTATTCATCTTAATTTCATGTTATATTAAAGTAGTTTTGTCCATAACCATAGTTAGCATTTATTTCTTGAATGTATCCTGTTTCTGATGTTGCTAAGAAGGCAATCATGTAGACTGACATCCTTGTCTACTTGTTCTTTTTTCCAGAAAATAGCTTTCTTATGAAATACTGGCATCTTGTTAATATGCAGGCTCTTCTGGGTACTTTCACATTTTCACCTCTTCTCATTCTTACTGGTTTCCCACAATTGGTAGGGAAGCTATTTTTTTCCTCAGTGACACACGACCTGGGCAGATCTGATGAGATGCTTCTGGCCACAGAAATTTGGTAGCAGCAGAGGCAAGGGACTATGCCTGACTGTAAAGGCAGTGCTTTGTCCAGAGACCAAACAGAAGGCAACCTCTTGTTTTGTCTCTGGTTTCTCTTATGTCAGGTTTCACAATTAGCTCAATATTGTTCAAGTACATACAGACCATAACATAATCTTGAATCACATAATACAGAGATTTTTTTGACTTACAGAACTCAATAAAAGCATAAGTTTAGGAAGGACATTTATTCAATTATAGGCACATCTGAACCTTTACACAAACTTTGGCTAATGTCAGAGAGCCCTCACTTCCTTCCATTAAGGCTGAGAGAGTTAGAGGTCAGACCCTAACTAGAGACACGAGTGGAGATTAATGTGTCTGAGTTTACTATACAGGTTCCAAAGAGAGGCCTGTGTTTGTTTAAAACTGACTGCCTTTTAGAACCAATGACAAGTCAGAGGACGTTTCTCCCTAAAACTAATTTCTAATGGGCTTTCATAATCTCATCGACAAGTGCCACCACTGCTGGTGTGATGAGTTGTACTGCTCTGTGGCTCAGAATGCTGACTTCCTTTCCCTTACTGCTTGTGCTACTGCCAAATTATCAGCATCTTCTCACACAGATATTCAGGAATACAGCCCTATCATTTAAAACACATTGCGAGATTTAATCTTTCCAAGCATTTATTAAATGACAGAAACTTACCATTTCCTCTTCCTAAGAATAAATGCAAAAAACTAAATAAATAGAGCAAAGGTCATTAGAACAGCTCCTGTCTTGTACCACCATTTAGTAAAACACTAATCTGACAGATTACAAAACAACATAGCCTCAGTCTTTTGCAAATATATGTCTAATAAAGTCAGAGTGCTGATTAAAATCAATAAGAATTCAGATGTTAAAATGGTTAAAAATGCATATATTATTCATTTGGAAAAATATTTATTGTAAGTGAGAGAATGCATGGGGGCTGGGCAGGCCTGTGTGCTGCTCTTGGCTTCCTCAAGGACTAATACAAGACATGAAGAGACTGCAAAGGATGTTTACTTTTGATCCAGCCTGAAATACGGATAATTTGTCCATGAATAGGCTACTGACTCCTGTTGGTCTTAACTGTCAGTTATAATCACTTTAAACCTAAATGTTTATAATAAAAAAGGTTTTATTCATATCAGGCATGAGTCATAGAGTTTTCTTTAAAAAATTATAGAAGGTGGAAAAAAATCAGACCTGAAATTCTGTATATTACCCTCTGAGATCTTCTTCATTTTACCACATTTCAAGGTGTTTTTGTCTGGAATTTTAAGACTACACATCTTAGTGGGATATTCATTACTGTTCATTAAAGTTAGATTCCTTTAGGAAAAACTGTAACTGTAACTAATACCTCTGAACAGTGCCTGAAAACACTCTTTGCCTTACAGGGGAGTATAGCTGGGACAGGAGAGTATGGCTGGGCAAAAAGCACTGCTGTATGTGGGTATGAAGCATTCCATCTCTGGTATTAAAACCATTGTACACCCTGCCTTGCTTGGCCTAAAAAGGCAGTTGAGGTACCTCCTGACTCTATAATCCCTCCCATGAGTTCCTGGATTATTTGCTCTCAATTTGGTCCCAATTTCCAGCTTGTTAACATTCAGTATTATCTCCTCTAGCATTGGTGATATTCTAGCCTGCTCTCCTAGCTCTCTGGGTTTTTGTCTTTGCTCATGCCTTCAGCTCTGGGGTAACTGAGGCATCTTGTAAGAACATTCCACATAAGCCCCTGAAACTGTAGAGCTGCGGTAAGTCTGCACAGTGTTGAAGTCAGGGGTGTGTGTGTAAAGTTACTGTCTCTCAATAGTGGATGAGAATCTCACACATACAAGAGGTAAACTGTTTTTCAACAGATCACCAGTTTCTGGCTCTTGTCTTGGACACTCCAAGAAAGCCACATGTCTGGTGATGTCCTCATTCACCAGGCCTTGTGGTGAGCACATAGAGGAATGATGCTCTGTCAGAGACCCTATGTAAAAGCCAAGGTACTGTGCTCCAAGAACAATGAGCTCCTGTGATATGCAAGATCAAGGAAGACCAGATCCCTTTACAGAGGATGGTGCTATCCAGCAAGGGCAGGGGGATGTATCAGTTTCCTTCTGTTGCCAGAACAACTTACTATAAGTGAGTGGCTCACAACAATACAGATTTGTTACCCTATGGTTTGGAGGTTAGAAATTGAAATTATCTCAGTGGGTAAATCTAGGTATCACAGACTGTGAAAAAGGGGAGAAGCTGTTTCCTTGTCTTTGCCAGCTTCCCAAGTGCATGCATTCACTGGCTTATAGCCCCATATTCCATGTCAAAGCCAATAGCAGATCTTCAAATCTCTCCTTAACACTGAATTTCCTACCTCCCTCTATTTATGAGGACCCTTGTAATTTACTTGGATCTGCCTATATAATCTAAGACAATTTCCTCATCTCAAGATCCTTGATGATACCTGCAAAATCCCTTCCACCATGCAATATACACAAGTTCTGGGGGTGAGCCTACAGATATCTTTGGAGGGACATTATTCTGCCTACCACAGTAGGCTTATTCATTGATTCAACAGATATTTATGGACAGCAAGAACTTTTCTAGGCACTGGGATCCAGCAATATAACCTATGCCCTTATGCTCATAATACTACATTTTAGTGCAAGAAGACAAATTAGAAAATATATAAATCAAATATTGTATATGGTATGTCAGATGTGATAAATGTAGAGGGGCAGGGGACACAGTCAGGAACCAAGAAAGCAGGGATCTGTGTGAGGCTACTTTATGAAGGGTGGTCAGGATCTGATATATTAAATATAAGTTCCTGGTAGAAACTGCGAGTAGGACTTCTAAGAGGAAATGTCTGTCAGTGCCTTCTTAAGAATATGCCTGGACCTTAACCTTAATTGCCTGACTTATTTACTTTTTTTCAACCTATTTTGTTTTGTTCTCATTTTCTATCTTTTTTTCCTCCAAATTAAAAAATCTGTATGGTTCTGTAAGCCATCTCAGATCATTTTTGGAACCAGGTGAGGTATAAGTTAGCATAACAAATGCATCAGCCCCCATTTTTCCCTGCCATGTGTAACCCTGTAAAAGAAGAATTAACAATTTGCTATTATATATGAGCAAGCCAGCTCTGAAAAGCTAATGAACCTGCCACAAGTCACAGAACTTGGGGAGCAGGAACTGGACAGACATCTTTCTGAGGCACAACATACT